CCCGTGTGTAGCCAGAAAGATGCCAAAAGTCATCAGTTCTCTTTTTTTTTTTTTTTTTTTTGAGATGGAATTTCACTCTTGTCGCTCAGACTGGAGCGCAGTGGCATGATCTCTGCTCACCACAACCTCCCTTTCCCAGGTTCAAGTGATTCTCCTGCCTCAGCTTCCCAAGTAGCTGGAATTACAGGCATGTGCCACCATGCCCAGCTAATTTTTGTATTTTTAGTAGAGATGGGGTTTCACCATGTTGGCCAGCCTGGTCTCAAACTCCTTACCTCAGGTGATCCATCCGCCTTGGCCACCCAAAGTGCTGGGATTACAGGCATGAGCCACTGTGCCCAGCCAAAAGTCATCAATTCTTTTAAATTGATGCCAGATACTGACTAAAAAATAATGTTTCTGTGTACATTTGTAGAAAAAGATTAGTGTTTTTACATTAGCATTTTTAAAGATGCTAAGATTCTGATGATCACCAGTGGCAGAATCTTGAAAATGCTGATGTGCATATTCTTAACCTAGTAGGAAATAATTACTAATATTTTTATTTTGACCCTTAGCACATATTGCTTTATACCATTACTGATTTATTTTTCTAGTCCCATTTCCTTAATAGGATGAGGAGACTCTTAGGAAGTGGGATTGTGTCTTGTAACTGTTTATTTTTGTTTTTTGCATGCTTAGAGGTGCTTGCTGTATATGCAGTGTTAGCTTTAATTAAATTATGGTCCTTGAGCATACTAGCATTTTCTGATCTCTTCCCTACCTAGGTATGTATTTTATTATGATCATACTTTTTTTTCTAATCTCTTCCCTACCTAGGTATGTATTTTATTATAATCATACTTTTAAAGTGAAGTTATTTTTTATTTAATATTCTTACTTTAAAAATATTATAATCATACTTTTAAAGTGAAGTCATTTTTTATTTAATATTCTTATTTAAAAAGAAATAGAAATCGAGTCTCAATATGTTGCCCAGGCTGGTCTTGAACTCTTGGGTGCAAGTGATCGTCCTGCCTGGGCCTCCCAAAGTATTAGGATTATAGGTGTGAGCCACTGTGCCCAGCCTTAAAGTAAAGTTCTAACAAAAAGTTTAAATTTTAGATCATTTTGAGATCACACAGTAAGGTGTGAATGGTACACCTTAGAGAAATGTTTCCTTTTATTACCATGTGGAAACTTCTCTGATTCAGAACCCCAGCAAGTTATAGTTCATGAAAATACAGAGGTGTGGCCTAAAGTTTATCTTTTTAGGATTCATATTTTATCTAAGTAAAGGTATCATGTGAATTAGATCATGGAGAGAATCTTCCCACTGCTTAAAAAAGATGGTTTTTTAAATTAATTTTGTTGTTGTTGTTATTGCTGTGAAAGCATCTCACAATTTTTCCCAGGCTGGAGTGCAGTGGTGCAATCACGGCTCACTGAAGCTGAAATCCACCAGGCTCCAGTGATCCTCCTGCCTCAGCCTCCTGAGGACGAGGGAATATGGTGATGCCCCATCATGCATGGCTAATTTTTTATATTTTTTTGTAGAGACGGGTAAGAATAAATCATTTTTAAGTGCTAGCACGTTGCTTCTTCAACTTTCATTTACCTCCATGTAATTCTGCATTATTACAGTTTTTTTTTTTTACATTTAATTACCAAAGCAAGTCCTTAATTTAAAGGCCTCTAATAGGAAGCTTATCTTTAGCAAGGCTTGAGTAACTAGTTTACTAGTTAATGAAACAATATTCCATTTCTTTTTAAATATTATAGAGTTATGACTTTTTAGTAAACCATATGTTTTTCTTACAGCTCTCTCTCCCTCTCCCCTTCTCTATCCACCCCAGGATTTAGACTAAATATGAGGATACTATTTACTGCAAATGTGTTTTGTTTATCCCTTATGCTAACCTAAGACAGGGGCTGGGATTATATAGATAATATACTTTTAAAGAGCTAAATAAAAGGAGTTTCATTGTAGGTGTCCAGAGTTTGTTTCTCTATTCCTTCCACAAAGGGAGACACAATTTATATTTTAAATGGCAGAATTGCTTATCCTGCCATTTGAAAAAGACAACCCTGATTGATTAATCAATAAGGAAGAAGTTTTTAATATTACTTCACTTTAACTGACTTAGATGTCTGGAAGCCTGCATTTCAATATCTGGGTTTTACTCATTAGCATTTAAATGGAGAAAAAAATATTGTCTTGGTGGGTTTTGGTGGTTATGTTTGGTTGAGACGAATACATGATGCTGTTTAAGAACTGTCTGTGCCAGAGACTATTTGTAGAACCCTGCTGGAGTTCTTCACCCAGCCATATCTGGGATTCTGGGGATGTTCCCAGAGCCCCCAGGTAGATGGATATGATTCTTTCTCTGTGGTGCCTTTTGAGCCTCCCTGTGCACTTCCCCCAGCTCTGTTCCATAGTTTCTGTGAAGATGAGCGCCCATAAATGAGTGTGAAGATGTTTTAGGGTTGGGGCAGATGTGTGAGTGTGTGTTCTAGCTTACATTGCAGTCTGTCTTTTGGCAGAGGTGAACAGTTTACCCGTATCTGAGGACAGAAGACAGCATTGTTTAATCTCTTGGTGCCCAGCTTGGGAAATAAACACCTGAAGCAGACAGTTTGAGAGAGGAATAGGAGCTGATCCACATTGGGAGGGAATCATAGTGTTTATGATGAAATCGAAAATTTTGAGTGTTGGGTGCCAGCTGTCAGCATTTTAGATGAACTGATTTACTTAATTCTGCAACAGTCCTGTGAAGTAGGTACCGTTTTTATGCTCATTTCACAGATGAGGCAATTGAGACTGGAATAGCCAAGTGTCCCTTCAGGCTGCTGTAACAAACTCCCATATGTTAGGTAATTAATAGGCAATAGAAATATATTGCTCGCAGTTCTGGAAGCTGGGAAGTCCAAGATTGAAGCATGGCAGGCTCAGTGTTGGGAGAGGGCCCATCCCTCAAGGGTGGTGCCTTCTAGCTGCCTCCTCACACAGTGGAAGGGACAAATAAGCTCTCTGGGGCCTCTTTGATAAGGACACTGATGCCATTCATAAGGGCTCCACCCTCACGACCTAATCACCTCCCAGATGCCTCACCTCCCAGCACCTCTGGGGATTAAGTTTCAACATATGAATTTTAGGGGGGAAACAAACATTCTGACCATAACATCAAGTAATTTGCCCAAGTGATGGGAAAAAACCAGGAAGGACTGATGTGTCCACTGACAACCCTCCTCCTCAGTCCTGGGGTGCCCTCCCTCCTAGGGAGGGGGCGTAGGAAAGGGGCTGGAGTCTCACTTGTGTGTAGCTGTCATTGCCCCCATGGATAGGGGCAGACAAGAAATTGAAGAGTTCCAAAATTTTCAAGTTGAAAGGCACCAAAGAAGTGTTCTGATTCCTTCCCTTCCCTGATGCGTGAACCTTTCTTGAATATTTCTGAGGTCTTCCCCGCTTTGCTGGAATGCCTCCAAGTATTAGGAACTTAAGCTCTCATGAAGCAGCACTGTTCCATGTTCAGAGAGCTTGAAGTGAGGAAGTGATAGTAGTAGGGAACCTTTCACTTCAAGCTCTCTGAACATGGAGCAGTGCTGACGCAAGCCCAGCCAGCTGCCCTGCAGTGCCCGTCGTTCTCTGCAGTGCTGACGCAAGCCCAGCCGGCTGCCCTGCAGTGCCCGTCGTTCTCTGCAGTGCTGACGCAAGCCCAGCCGGCTGCCCTGCAGTGCCCGTCGTTCTCTGCAGTGCTGACGCAAGCCCAGCCGGCTGCCCTGCAGTGCCCGTCGTTCTCTGCAGTGCTGACGCAAGCCCAGCCGGCTGCCCTGCAGTGCCCGTCGTTCTCTGCAGTGCTGACGCAAGCCCAGCCGGCTGCCCTGCAGTGCCCGTCGTTCTCTGCAGTGCTGACGCAAGCCCAGCCGGCTGCCCTGCAGTGCCCGTCGTCCTCTGCAGTGCTGACGCAAGCCCAGCCGGCTGCCCTGCAGTGCCCGTCGTTCTCTGCAGTGCTGACGCAAGCCCAACCGGCTGCCCTGCAGTGCCCGTCGTTCTCTGCAGTCCTCTTTTCCAGCTCTCTGATCCCCTGCCCTGCTCCCGATCACAGGGATGGTGCCTTTGAGTTTGCTTCTGGCCGCCTGAGAAGTCAGGAAAAGCCACCTTGCCTGGTCTTCTCCGTCTGACTTTGTGGAGTGTGAAACCACAGTTCTCGCAGAGGATGAAGTAGGAGGCCACAGGCTAGTGTGTGGGAAAGTCTCGCTTCCAGTGGGAGCCAGGGACCAGTCCACACATCCACTAAATAGCTCCGCTCACCACCTGAAAGCCTTTCGAGATCTGAGGCACACTTTTACTCTCCACATGAACGTTTACGCCGGAGAAGGGGCTGATGTGTGCCTTTTTGGGAAGAACGCAAAGGTATCCAAAGCCTGGCTCCTGCCTTGGTGTCCCTGGCAGGCTCCTGTGACTGTGGTTGTGTTCATTGACTAAAGTGCATATTCAAGCAGCTGTAGAAACTCAGGAAAGATCAGTGAGGATCATTTCTGCCTTTTTCAGAAATCCCTCCCCCTACCCTTTTTTTTTTTTTTAATGGGGTCTCGTTGTATTGCCCAGGCTGGCCTACAGCCCCTGGGGTCAAGCCATCCTTTTGCCGCACAGAAATCCTTTTGTTACGTTGTCTGTGGGTGAATGCATGCATTTGTCTTCTGCCTGCAAGTGTGTCTCCTAGGAGCAATGTAAGGAGGCTCCAGGTGACCCTGTGTGGGGACTGATCAGGGTGGCACGTGATCACAAGCACATGCGTGTGTGTGTATGGGGGTGTGTATGTATGCTTTTCTGCTGGGGTCTCTTGCTGTCTGATGGGGGAGATCGGTGGGGAAAAGGTTTCTTTCTATTTTTTGACAGTGTGGAATGATTTTATTTAATGAAAATTATAACTGGGGAATCCACATATCATTATTGCAACCTCTGTTTCTGCTTTTTCCTTGTTCCTCTAAAAGTACTTTTCCTCTTTCTCTTCCGGCAGATCAGCCAGTAGACATGATGAACATCAAAGCCTTTACGCTTGTCTCTGCCGTGGAGTGGGAGCTGCTGATGGGTGACAAGGAGCGTGTCAACATTGAGTGCGTGGAGTGCTGCGGCAGGGATCTCTACGTGGGCACCAACGACTGCTTCGTCTACCACTTCCTGTTGGAGGAGAGGCCCGTGCCTGCCGGGCCGGCCACGTTCACGGCCACGAAACAGCTGCACAGGCACCTGGGCTTCAAAAAGCCTGTGAGCGAGCTGCGCGCGGCCTCAGCACTCAACAGGCTGCTGGTGCTGTGTGACAACTCCATCAGCCTGGTCCACATGCTGAACCTCGAGCCAGTGCCCTCGGGAGCCCGCATCAAGGGGGCGGTCACGTTTGCACTCAATGAGAACCCTGTGACTGGGGACCCGTTCTGTGTGGAAGTTTGCATCATCTCTGTCAAACGCAGAACCATCCAGATGTTTCTGGTGTACGAGGACCGGGTGCAGATCGTCAAGGAGGTGTCAACCTCTGAGCAGCCCCTCGCCGTAGCTGTGGACGGCCACTTCCTGTGTCTGGCTCTGACCACTCAGTACATCATCCACAACTACAGCACAGGTGTCTCCCAGGACCTGTTTCCTTACTGCAGCGAGGAGAGGCCACCAATTGTCAAGAGGATAGGGAGACAGGAGTTCCTGCTGGCAGGCCCCGGAGGGCTGGGTGAGGAAGATGTGCTTGTGCTCCTGGTCTTTTTGGGTGGCCTCTGTGATTGCATGTTGAAACCAGAGAGTGAGATTGGCGCTGTGCAGAATAAGTCCTCAGCAACATTGGGTGTGTGTGGTAAGACAGAGGCAGGAGCCCCTGACCAGTGCTTGATGAAATCCAGTTCGATCGTTTTGTGGACATGGGGTTAGAATCATCAAACCAGTTTCTTTTACAGTGAAGTGGAGCTTGAAAACAGCTCTGGTGGTGGTACCAGGAACGGGACATTCTCAGCCCTTTGTCATCTTAGAAGAAAGATTTTGGCCAAGAGGCAATTCAGGGATAGCAGAGAGCTTTACTGAAGGGAAGTAGAGAGCAGAGAGTTTACGTGGAGAGAGACAGTACATTCGGAAAGATGAGGCAGCGTAGGACGCTGAGAGAGTGAGCCAGCAACCCTGAGAGTTCTGCATCAGGTTTTTATGATGCTGGATATTTTCTTGAAGTTCCCGCCTTTTTTCTTTGGTTTTCCTCCTTCTGCCTTAAGTCCCTGCCTTTTCCTCCTACCTAGTTTCTACCCTAAGCTTGTGGGACCCTCTCCTACTATTAGTTGGTGCGCATGTGCGGCCAGTGGTGGATGTAAATCCTACCTAATGGCTGCATTGCTCTTACCTCCACCCCAGGAAGGTCGTACAGTGGTCAGCTCCATACTTATTGCACCTGCGTGTCACTTCGGAATTTCTCCTTTACCCCCTTCCCGCCTCTCTGCTCATATCTAGCATGCATTTATTTATTTTTTTTTTTTTGAGATGGAATCTCACTCTGTTGCCCAGGCTGGAGTGCAATGGTACGATCTCAGCTCACTGCAACCTCTGCCTCCCAGGTTCAAGCAATTCTCCCTGCCGCAGCCTCCCAAGTAGCTGAGATTATAGGCACCCACCACCACACCCGGCTAATATTTGTATTTTTAGTAGAGATGGAGTTTCATCATGTTGGCCAGGTTGGTCTCCAACTCCTGACCTCAGGTAATCCTCCAGCCTCAGCTTCCCAAAGTGCTGCAATTACAGGCATGAGCCACCACACCCGGCCCACATGCATGTTTTTGATGGTCTCTGGGATGTGAGATCTTCCAGACCTCCCTTTTCTCGGGGGCTCTTCCCTCCTGCTCATGTTTAGCTATATATCTACTCTAACCGTGAGAAAATTATTTTAAGTAAATAACTACAAAAATAACTCCATAAGGCTTCCTAGTAAAATTTTCCCACAAGGGTGGGTTGTCATTTATTAATTTTTGCTCCTCATTCTAAAAAGAGTTGAGGCTGGGCAAGGTGGCTCACGCCTATAATCCTAGCACTTTAGGAGATGGAGGCAGGCGGATCACCTGAGGTCAGGAGTTCGAGACCAGCCTGATCAACCTAGTGAAACCCCATCTCTACTAAAAATACAAATATTAGCTGGGTGTGGTGGCAGGCACTTGTAATCCTAGCCACTCAGGAGGCTGAGGCAGAAGAATCACTTGAACCTAGGGGGAGAGACGTTGCAGGGAGCTGAGATTGTGCCACTGTACTCCAGCCTGGCTAATAGAGCAAGACTCTGTCTAAAAAAAATAAATAAAATAAATTTTAAAAATGAAAAGAAGTTGAGGTAGCTCAATGTGTTTTTAATGTCATGTCCATAACATTTTTTCTTTTATGTCCTGCCATTTCATCCCACCAAAATGTTTTTCGTAGCTAGCTCCTCAAAAACTAGCTCCTCAATAAAGGGCTTTAGTAGTTCTCGTATGGCCTTAACGAATTCTCTGGACAGCTTGATCGAAATTAAGAATCAGTGCTTTAACCTTAGTGATGTCTCCTGGTATTTTCTTCCAGCCAGGGGCGGCTCATATTAGAATTAGTTTATATGTTTATGGTACGGGGATGCTGGCGAGAGTGAGTTCCTCTTAACACAGGTATTTTTTATCCTTGGAGAGTTTTTGTATAGACACCTCATTTCAAAGTGCCGAGTGCAAACCCATTTTCTTGTAATAACAAGAATTCCTGTCATGAAATATTTCATGTACGTGTCTTGATTTTCACTTTTTAAAAAAACAGACTTTATTTTTTAGAGCAGTTTTAGGTTCACAGCAAAACTGAGAGGAAACTACAGAGAGCTCCCATAGACCTTCTGCTCTCCTGTTATCCACAGGACAGTGGTACAAGGCTCGCATCGTTAGTACCTGAAACATAGTTTATATTAGGTTGACCAATGTGTAATGACATGAATTGCTGCTACAGTGTCATTCACAATCCTTTCACCACCTGAAAGTCCTCTTTGCTCACCTGTTCATCCCTCCCTTCCCCTAAGCCCCAGCAACTGCTGGTCTTTCTGTTGTTTCCATGGGTTTTTTTCTCTTCCAGAGTGTCACCTAGTTCGGACCATACAGTATGTGGCTTTTTCAGATTGGCTTCTTTTGCTTAGTCATAGGCTTTTCTTGTTTGTTTGTTTTTTACTCCCTCCCCCCACCGAGATGGAGTCTCGTTTTGTCACCTAGGCTGGAGTGCAGTGGTGTGATGTCAGCTCACTGCAACCTCCACCTCCCGGGTTCAAGCGATTCTCCTGCCTTAGCCTCCTGAGTAGCTGGGACTGCAGGCGCACACCATCATGCCCAGCTAATTTTTGTATTTTTAGTAGAGATGCGGTTTCACCACGTTGGCCAGGATGGTCTCAAACTCCTGACCTTAAGGGATCCACCCACCTCAGCCTCCCAAATGCTAGAATCACAGCTGTGAATCACCACACCCAGCCAGTAATATGCATTTAAGTTTCCTCCATATCTTTTCATGGCTTGACAGCACAGATTCTGACTTTTTAAAGGAAGAATTCTTTAGCCCAGCCACATTTTTTTTTTAATTGAGGAATTCTGTATTGTGAAATTTTTTATAGTAGAAAGCATATATAAGCTTGTATAATAAAGAGAATAGCATAATGAACCCGGTAGAGTCATCACCCTGCATCAGGAATTCTCAGTTTATACACGTTATGCCCTCTGCTTGTTTTGAGTCAAATCCCAGACATCATAGCATTTCATCTGTAAATGTTTTAATATGTATTTCTAAGTTACAGATACCTAAGAAAACCACAATAGTATTACATTCCTAAAAAACCTGGCAGTAATTCAACATCAAATATATCTAGATGTGTCGTATTTCTCCTATTACCTACATCATAATAGACATAAATAGGCATATACACTTTAATCTTCAGTTTTCTGCTTCATCTTGTTTTTGTTTTTCTTTAATGTTTTTGTTGAAGAAATTGGATGGTTTCATCTATAGTGTCCCACAATATGAATTTTAATGATTTCATTCCCATAGTATTGTTTGACGTGCCTCTCTGACCTCTGTTTTATCTTCAAATAGTAGTTAGGAGATTCAGGGTTTTTAAAAATGTGCTTGTTTTGCGGGGAGGCAAGACTACTCCCTAGAGGTGGAGTACTTGTGTCAGGGTTACCTAATGCCTTCATCACTTTGTAATGTTAACAGCTGTTGACAGTTACTGTCCAGGACACTTCGGTTATTCAGAGCTGCTAAATGGCGACATACTGTTTGTCTCCATTCTTCCTTCCTATGGTGGTGACGGGGAGAGTGCATCTGTGAAGCTAGACTTCTCCTTAACTGTTTGGTTATCCCCAAACAGTTGGGAAAGTATTTATATATCCCCAAAAGTATTCTATATAAATACTTTATATAGAAAGGCAAGATGAGGCAGTTTTCAACATGGGGGTCTCTTTCCTACAAAAATGGCTTTCTAAAAAGTATCATAATAAATTCATGAATGTAACTGTATGTGATATGCTTGGTTTCATCCATGCCTAGTGGGAGTTTATTCTGGAGCACTCACCAGTCCTTTTTCATGCCCCTAGAAATTTGATTCCTTCCTTGACTTTCAGTGTGTTCCTGGTTCACCTGGGTCTGGTTTCAGCCATGTCTCCAAAGAGCCTTGATGTTTACAGACCACTGTCTGGGAGCTAGAGGTGATTGCTGCTCATTTTTTCTAGTCCCTACTTTCAGTAGGCAGTGCTGGGAATTAAGTCTTTTTTACCTAATTTTACTCCTTTAGAAATGAGGTCTTGCCGTATTGCCCAGGCTTGCCATGAACTCCTGGGCTCAAGCAAGCCTCCTGCCTCAGCTTCCCAGGTAGCTGGGATTCTAGGTATGCACCACTGCATCTGGGTAAGGATATGTTTTTTAAAGATAATTTCATCGAGAAATCATGTTGCTAGAACTAATCCATCGTTGTACCTGTATCTCCTTTCAGCCACACCAAAACTCTTACTTCTCTACTCTTTCAACATAATTACTCCTTTGATTTATCCCACAGTACATACAACAGAGTAACTGGTCCGACACTACCTCTCCCACAATATAATTATTGGAAACTTTGGTGGTTTGTGGCCCTTTCTGTCCTTAGGGTATTAAGCATATAGTCAAATTACTGTGTTTTAAAGTCAATTGGAATAGTTCTCCTCTGTGTGGTTATGCCATCAGCTAGATTTATAGTTAGATTCGTTTGTTTCATTTTACTTTTCATTTTTAGAAATTGCTTTGGTTTGTTTTTTATTACATAAGTGTTTACAAAGTTCCAAGACAGATGGATACAGCAAGATATCATCCAAGAGGTCTAAGCTCACAGCCAGTTTTTTCACCAAGTTTCCCTCTCCCATAGGTAACCTTTATTTTTAGGGTTTATTCTTTCATTTTACAGTAAAACATAAATATGTAAATATTTGTATCTCCTTCTTGGCTAAATGGTAGCATACTTTTCCTCAGCTTCTTGGCTAAGTGGTGGCATACTTGCTTTTTTTGCTTAATGTATTAAAGCAATCACTTGAAAGCATAATATAGAGGTATTCCTCCTTCATTTTTATAGCTGTGCACTGTTCTGCTACGTGGAGGTACCATAATGGGTTCCATCTATTGAGGAGCATTCGGGGTCTTTTTTAGTCTTTCGCTGTTCCTAGGGACTTATATTTGTGTGTACGTGTGTTTGTTTTCAGTGTATCTATTAGAAAGCTTTCTAGAGAGATAGCAGAGTATAAATTCAAAGTATAAATGTGAGGTATTACTATAGCCTCCCTTGATAAAAGTCACACCATTATATTTCTCCCTAGCAACCTATGAAAGTGCCTGTTTCCTTCCAGCTTTGCCAACAGAGGATGTTATCCAAACTTACATGTTTTTCCCAGTCTAGTATATGAGAAATGGTTTCTCAGTGTAGTTTTAATTTCCATTTCCCTTGTTTATGTGCATAGTTGAACATTTTTCACATGTTTAAAAGCCATTTACATTTCTTCTGATGGGAATTATCTCTTCTGATCTCTAGCCCGATTTTTAAGTATTTTTAAAAACGTATTTGAGATGCCCACTTCTCTGTTATCAGGCTTCAAGTATTTCTTTCCATTTTTTACTGTGCAAAAGCTTTTTTAAAAATTTTGATATAATCTCGCCAGATGTGGTGGTGTGTGCCTGTGACCTCAGCTATAGGAAGTGGAGGCAGGAGGACTGCCTGAGCCCAGGAGTTTGAAACTGAGGTGCTCTGTAATTATGCCTGTGACTAGGCATTGCACTACAGCCTGTGGAACACAGCAAGCCCTATCTCAAAAAGAAAAAGGAAATCCTGTATAATCAAATGTATCAGTATTTTCACATCATATTGCTTCTTGAGTTTGAGTCATAATTAGGAAGATTTCTCTGACTTCCAGATTAAAGACAAATTCACCTGTGTTTTCTTCTAGTACTTGTGTGGTTTCATTTCTTTTCTTTTCTTTTTTTTTTTTTTTTTTTTTTTTTTGTGGCAGAGTCTAGCTCTGTCACCCAAGCTAGAGTGCAGTGGCGCAGTCTCGGCTCAATGCAACCTCCACCTCCTGGGTTCAAATGATTCTGCTGCCTTAGCCCTCCTCGTAGCTGGGATTATAGGTGCGCACCACCATGCCTGGCTAATTTTTTGTATTTTTAGTAGAGATAGGATTTCAGCATGTTGGTCAGGCTGGTCTCGAACTCCTGACCTCAAATGATCCACCTGCTTTGGCCTCCAAAGTGCTGGGCTTACAGGCCTGAGCCACCACACCTGGCCAGTTTCATTTCTTATAGTAAAGAGTATAAAGAATACATTCAATTTTATCTTTTTAAAAAATTTTTATTTATTTATTTATTTATTTATTTATTTATTTATTTATTTGAGACAGGGTCTTGCTGTGTTGTCCAGGTCAGAGTGCAGAGGGGCAATCTCAACTCACTGCAACCTCTACCTCCCCAGTTCACGTGATCCCCCTTCCTCATTTCCTTTAATAGCTGGGACCACAGGTACCTGCCACCACGCCTGGCTAATTTTTGTATTTTTTTTTTTTGGTAGTGACTGGGTTTTGCCACGAGGGCCAGGCTGGTCTTGAACTCCTGGACTAGAGTGATCTGCCTGCTTTGGCCTCCCAACGTATTGAGATTACAGGTGTGAGCTACCATGGCTGACCTCAGTTTTATCTTTTTTATATGGCTGTGCGGTTGTCCTAACAAACTGATTAAAGAGTCCATCTTTTCCTCACTGATTTAGGTAATGGCCTTTAATGTACACTAAATTTCCTAATGTATTGGGTCTGTCTCTGGATTTTCTATTTTATTCTGTCAGTTCATTTTCCTATTCATGTGCCAATACCTAACTGTTTTAGTTATAAAGATTGATAGGCTGGGCGCAGTGGCTCACACCTGGAATCCCAGCATTTTGGGAGGCTGAGGCAGGCAGATCACCTGAGGTCAGGAGTTCTAGACCAGCCTGGCCAACATAGTGAAACCCTGTCTCTATTAAAAATACAAAAATTAGCCAGGCGCGGTAATGCATGCCCGTAATCCCAGCTACTCAGGAGGCTGAGACAGGAGAATTGCTTAAACCGGGAGGCAGCAATTGCAGTGAGCCGAGATGGTGCCACTGTACTCCAGCCTGGGCAATAGAACAAGACTTCATCTCCAAAAAAAAAGAAAAAGACTTGATAGTGAAAAGATTTTACTTTGTTATCATCTTTTGTTGGTTGTAGTGTTAAGACTGGTGGGAAATAATATTCAATAATCTATATGATGCACTCCATCTCAGCTACATGGGCATTGGGCTAAATGAACCAACCTTCTTAACTTTTGTTCTGCTTGTAACCGGCACAATTACAAGCAAATTGAAAGATCGCTTGTAATGCCTCTCACACAGTACTTATATACAGATTCTGTCTACAGCACAGTAACCACCACTGTCTTTATATGGCTTCAGAAATTAATAATTTGAACAAATTACTATAATGACTGTAAATGCACTTTTAAACATAAAAGCTACACACTTTTAAAAATTATACTTTAAGTTCTGGGATACATGTGCAAAATGTGCAGGTTTGTTACATAGATATACATGTGCCGTGGTGGTTTGCTGCACCCATATTTCTCCTAATGCTATACCTCCACTAGGGCCCTACTCCCTGGCAGGCCCTGGTGTGTGATGCTCCCCTCCTGTGTCCCACTTATGAGTGAGAACATGAGGTATTTGGTTTTCTGTTCGTGAAAGCTACATGTTTTTAGTTTGTTTCTTGCCATTCTCCTTGAATATAATTTGTGACCATTTCCATGTCATCACAAATTGCTCTGAACCTTCTGAAAAGCCATACTTTGTTGAAATTTTCATAATACAATTGATAATTGTGACTTTAAACCCTGTCCTATGACAGTGCTTCTTGAAGAAGGTAAATAATTCAGCTACTCTTTACCAATTCCCTCTCCTCCCAGCTTAGATAAGGGAGTGGATGAAACTTAGAGATTACACAATTGAAAATAATGCTTTTCAAAGGTGTGCCATTTACACATTTGTGACATTTGCATGTTGACAGCAATCGCACTCCTGCAGCAGTACAGAAACAATAGACTTTATCACGTGTTTTGAGAGAATAGAATTAGTTTGTGGGTGTTGATCACAGTCCCCTCTGTTCCTAAGTGGGGCTGCGAGGCTTCTCCTACTGCTCCTCCTAGACTCCTCTGCCACTTACTGCTCGCTGTTTTATTCTAGTGAAAGCATTGCTTTGCATTTTGCGTGGATGCCTTTGTTCTTGACTCTTCATCCTTTTCCTTTGCCCCCCGGCCCCGACCACCTTTTTTTTTTGAGAAAGGGTCTTACTGTGTTCCCCAGGCTGGTTTTGAACTTCTGAACTCAAGCAATCTTCCTGTGTCAGCCTCCCAAGTAGCTGGGATTATAGACACACACCACTGCCCCAGGCCCTTGCTCTTTTTATTTTAAAAACATTCATCAGGGCCTCTGTGCTGCATAGTTCTCTGGTTGGGCGATGTCCAGCTGTAAGCAGGTAAATGCAGTGACCCTGTTTGAACTCCAGGGTGAGGCTGGGTAATGTTGCTGGTGTCCATGTGACCATGAGAACTGTGCTGTCTAGAGCATGTTATTTGAGCTGAAATTCAGCAGAATCCTCAGGATTATGCCCTATTTGAAAGTTGCTTTGTCCTCACATGAAGACACATGCTTTATAAATCTTCATGTGGCTTATATGGAAATGTATTTTTAACCTCATTTTTATTTTTAAAATTTATTTTCAGATGGCTTCTCACTCTGTCACCCAGGCTAGAGTGCAGTGGCATATCATGCTCACTGCAGCCTTGACCTTCAGGGCTTAAGTGATCTTCCCACCTTAGCCGCCCAAGTAGCTGGAACTACATGTGTGCACCACCATGCCTGGCTAATTTTTGTGTTTTCTGTAGGGGCAGGGTTTCGCCATATTGCCCAGGCTGGTCTCAAACTCCTGAGCTCCAGCACTGTCTGCCTGCCTTGGTCTTCCAAAGTGCTGGGATTACAGATGTGAGCTACCATGCCCGGCCTATTTTATTTTTTATTTTGCTAAGTTTGTGATAATAATATTACAACCTCATTTTTAATCAGAAGTAACTATCAGATCTACATTCTAGGTAAGGTAGTTCTTTTCACAAAAATAAAGTCCTGTAGGGCTCTTCACACATGCAGTGTTTTATATCATTTTCCTTTCTTGAAATTTAAGACTGTACAGGAAAATTGCTGGTGGGCAGGGGTGTTCTGCATTTAGACATAGCTACAGGAAAGTGATACCATGCTTATTTGGAAGCCCACCTAACTCTTTCTTCTTGCTTCTAGGCATGTTTGCCACAGTTGCAGGGATATCCCAGCGGGCTCCTGTGCACTGGTCAGAGAACGTGATTGGGGCAGCCGTGTCCTTTCCATACGTCATAGCGCTGGATAATGAATTCATCACGGTCCACAGCATGTTGGATCAGCAGCAGAAGCAGACCCTGCCCTTTAAGGAGGGCCACATCCTACAGGACTTTGAAGGTACTCATTCACATAGAAGTTTTAATGAAATTTACTTAACTCTTTTATGATATTTCTTCAGTAAATATCATTTAGGAACTGGGCCTTGTGCTAAGCATAAAAGACACACAGATGACTCCAATACAGTCTCTGTGCTTCAGGAGCTGCACAGTTAGTGGGGAGACAGACATTTAAACAAATAGCTATGGCAGTATAAGAGCTTGATCATGATCGAATAAGGTCCATTGTGAGAGCAGAGGAGAAAGTATTTCCTAGAGATATCAGGGAGGGCTTCCTGAAGGAGGTGCTGTTTTAGTCAAACCTTTAAGGATGTATAGGAATCAGTCAAGCAGATGTTGTGTGAAAGAACCTTCTGGCAGAGAGAAAGGCGTATGCGAATCTGTTCAAGAGCGCACTGTGGGCTTCAGGCTACACAAGCAGTTTGTCTTGACTGTAGTGCATGGTGTGTGTGAAGGGGCAGTGTGAGCTGAGGTCGTCGGGAAGGCAGAGCAGGGAAGGACTTCATCTCGTATGTATGGGAAGCCAGTTGAAGGATTTATTCTACTTTTCCCTCAATTTTATTTTGAACACTTTCAATACAGAAAAGTTGCGAGAGAGACAATGTAAGCTACCTGAAACTTTTCACCTAGATTCAACATTTTACTGAGCCATTTGAAAGTAAGTGGAAGATGTGATATTTAATCCCAAAATTCTTCCACACACATCTAAGAATAAGGGCTTTTCCCAACAAAGCCACAATGCAATTTTCACACCTAAGAAAATTCACATTAACTGCTAATACCATCTCGTGTCCTGCCAATATTCAGATTTCCCCAGTTGACTTAAGAATGGCTTTTGTCGTATTTTCTTCCAACCAGGAACAAATCTAGATTTATGTGTTGCATTTGCCATTTAAGGATTTTAGTCCACCAAACATTACCCTTGCTGTGTTAAGTGCCGTCTTACAGATGCTGAGGAGATAAGAAGACTCACAGTTCCCGTCATTAAGTGGGTTAATTCCAGCGGGGCTCTGGCGCATGCGCTGGGGTCTCACACCGAGCGGTATTGTGGTGCCGTGCCTGTGGAGTGCTAGAGGTGGGCTCAGAGTGTGGTGCACACACAGAGGAAGATGGTGTAACCTATCCAGGTTGGGAACACAGTGAGGCTTCCTAGGAAAAGTGACTCTAGGCAGAGGAGGGACAGAATGTCATTTGAGAATGAGAAAAACTGCCTTAGTTGTGATACAGAAAACAGAAAGAAATAGTTCCCTATGGACAGGTGGTGCTTAGCTGAAAGTTTCTGCAGAAGGGAGCCAGATTTAATTGGGAAGCTTAGTAGTAGGAGCTAGTCTTGGACTGCAGTTCTGACTCCTCCGCAGACTACCTGTGGAGAAGCTCACAGATCAAATGAGGATAGCGGTGTTGGCCGTGGGCCAGGTTAACTTGCAGGATTGCAGGGAGAGGAATACATTAATGGCAAGACTTTGGAGGTATTTTTAGTTGGCAGGTGAGTATGAAATATTATCTCATGCTTCAGAATGTTGCATTAAAATTTTAATTTTATGTGAACTAACTGGGAGGGGAAAGAATGTTTTAAAAATGTTGTGTATTCTTATTGATAATATTCCCTGATTGAACTCTCCATCTTCATTGAACTATGTGTTACGTGTTTACCGCACTGATCTTACATTCACCAGCATTTCTCAATTTAAAAAAAGGTATTAAAAAAACAAGATTGTATTCTTTGGAAATTTCATAGTAAGAGTTTGCCATTTTCTGACAGTTGACAGTGTGGGAAAAAGAAAAGCATTATGATTTATGATTTTTGTTGGAATTCCATTCAGAAAACTGTGGTAAAATTGTTCAAAAAATCAGGTAATGATCCGGTACGGGGAAAGCAGTGTGCTTTCTTGCAGGCAATGTGTTTTTCCTCTTTCCGACAATGCCGAATTTCTTCCCAGGAAGAGTGATCGTTGCCACAAGTAAAGGAGTTTACATCCTGGTTCCATTACCTTTGGAAAAACAAATACAGGATCTTCTAGCAAGCCGCAGAGTAGAAGAGGCTTTGGTTTTAGCAAAAGGAGCCCGGAGGAACATTCCAAAGGAAAAATTTCAGGTTTGTAATTAACTGGTCACAGAAATATGCCTCTAAGTCACCAGTTAGAGGACATTCGGATTTAACTAACATGCATCGGCCCTTCCAGTGTACCAGGCAGTACACACTGCTCTTATGCCTGTTGTTTAATTTTTCTCAACAAATCCATATTGTAGAGGTAAGGAATCAGGCTTGAGGGCGGTTGAACAGCTTGTGACTGAGAAGGCACTGCTAACAGTGGATAAGTTGGGTCCAACTTCTGACTTAATTCTGCTGCTTTGGATATGGAAGAAATACTTGTATTTCTAATCAACTGTCCTCTTCCGTGGACCTTCGGAGAAGGATCAAGAACATAGTTCCTAAAAAGCAAGAGTGAGGTCAGATTACCTTGTCTCCAAATTTAGAATTTGTATTTGTCAGGAAGGGGTTGAATTAAAGTTTAGATTTCTGTCATCTATAGGAAAAGCTTTACTACCCATATTGCTAACCATTTTACTAACTAAATTGATATTGTAGGAACCCCATCTAGTTGATTTCCTTAGTAGAACATTTTTAATGCACTTGAGAGACACTCATTTTAAATATAATTGGTATAATAAATACAATGGATATAAATTGAGTCTCCTAAAAACTATTACTTGATCAGTTGTTAGGTTGTTCAGGTTACTCTATATCTGAGGGGTACAAAACATAATATTGGTATGTATGTGGGCTTTATATGAATATCTAAATTAATAATGAAAAGTTCTTAATAATGTTGGTCAGATTTTAGAGATGACAGTGTGATTGTTGTGGAATGAAATGCTCTTTTTCCTCAGGCACTTTATACAGCAAAGGGTAGATTCTGGAAGTGAAAGAAGACAGGATGTGTGATTTATGGTTGTGGACTGTGAAGGCGGGCAGGACCTCTTTTCTACATGTAAACACTGATAAACTTTTCATCTTTGTCCCTAACTTTTGAGTAAGACGGATTTACTGGCATTCAGCAGGGGGCAGCAAAGGCAAAAAGAAGAAAGCTGCTGAGCTTCGGGTGCCCTGCAGGGGAAGGTGCAGACCAGAGGCGGATCTCCCGTCCCAGGCCTGCTACTGCTGTGCACGCTCTCAGCCCCTTCTCTCCTGCCAGCTTCCCCCTGCGGAAGTCCAGGGGCCACATTCCAAGGTTGTCACAGCTGCCACTGTGGAGTATCCCCTCCTTGCACACACACCATGTGCACGCTTTAAGTGTGTAACATTTTCTTCCAGAAGCTTTCAATGCTCTTTATCTGATTTTTACTTTTTTTCTCTATGCTTTTTGCCACAGTAGAGCTATACAGTCAATATTAGATAGTATTAGTCATCTTGTTCTCCAACTGATATCTCAGAGGTTTTTTTGTTTCCTTTCCAACGTGCTCCCCACTTCTCCCTGTATTGCTGCAAGCTCCTATATCCAGCCCTGGAAATACACCCTCAGAATTATCTCGAGTTCACCCGTTATTCTCTTTTCCCATTGTTACTGCTGGCGTTCAGACCATGCTCATTTTTGCCTGCATTTTTAACAGCCTCCGTGTGTGAGTGCAGTCCATCTTCCCTGCAACTATATGGAAATGATCTTTCTCAAATACAGACCAAGTCTTTTGCTTAAAATAGTGGGCATCTCATTGCCCAGGTAAAGTCCACAGTCTAGAAGTGTGCCTGGCCCCACCCTCTTCTGTGGCCTTGTCTTTTACACACACACACACACACACACACACACACACACCCCTATGAAGCACATGCCTACGTTCTACATTTCTACCTCAAAGGGTGGAGGATAAAGAGAACAAACAACCAGTCAGCCCTATATGTCAGGAACGTTGCAAAACATTTGAAAACATTTGTTGTTTTAACCCTCAAAAGAATTTGGTAATGACTGGTACCACTGTCCTCATTTTGCAGACAAGACACAGCAGTGCAGATCAGCCATGCCTCTGGACATCAGGCTGGCTAAGTCAGGCTGGTGCCCCCATGGGACCCTTTACCCTGCAATTACTGGAGTGTACTTCTCTACTCAATAAAATAGTTTTGATACCTTGCTTAAATATCTTCTCTTCACTAAGCCTTCCCTTTCCTCTGGCAAAACTAAGCACTTCTTCCCCCATGCACAGGTGTGTTGAACATGGCACGTACCATGTATCAGTTCACCCCTCAGCACCATGCTTCTCCCTCCCCTACCTCCTAGGAAGGCTCTTCTCTCTTAATACCAAGGAAAGAATGAATGAGTGATTCAGAGCTTCCAACTGGCCTTCCAGCAGAGCTGTGATATAAAGATTGGCAGCACGGAGTTTTTGTTTGAAATAGAAACCTTAAACAATAAGACAATATTGATGCAAAAAAAAAAAAAAGCTTAGAAATGACTTTTCCTAAATGTGTATGTTTTAAAGGATTAGATTCAGCTCATATGGTTAAGTAGATTGCTTCTTTTAGTTTTAGAGTGCTTGTGACCACATGCTAGACTCCACACTAAGAGAAACCAAGAGAAGGGAGAAGATGAAAAGCTTGAGCTCAGTAAACTTCTTCACCACGGCACTCCTTTCCCTTCATTTAAAGCAAGGGCTGGTTTCGCTTCCCTGAGTTCTGGATTAGCAAGGGGTTTGTCAAGAAGTTTGACTGTGGGGCTGGAATTAAGGATCATTTCTTTAGGAGTTCCAAAAGGGTTGCTCAGAACTTTAGAAAGCAGGCCTTAAATTATATTATGGTTTAGAATGCTGTATTTAAAACAAGAGACAGTAAAGGGACATCTTGCTTTATAGACAAAGGTTTGTGTCACACACACAAAAAATTACTTGATTTCTGTCACATAATATGGGTAGTGTTTATATTTAAGCTTGAGCTCCGATAGATTTTTTTTCCATTTCATCGAAAGACATTTCAGGACATGTCTCTAAAAAGCACGATGCCTCCTTTGAAATGTAACCACAGTAGCATCGTCGTCACTTCCCCACGTCAGCACTGATGCCTTCATGTGCTGGGTATCTGGTCAGTGCTCATATCTCTACACTCATCCAGTGAATGTTTTTGCTTTGCTTTTTTGTTTTGTTTTAATACTTAGGGAAAATCTCACTGGGCTATACACTCAAATTACTGTTCTAATGTCATGTGGGATAGTTCTCTGTGTGGTTCTGCTACCAGCTTTATATATGTAGTTAGGTTCATTTGTTTCATTTGACTTTTAGTTTTTTAGGGATTGCTTTTTAAAATTTAATTTGCTTTATAACTATGTAAAATATTTACATAGCTCAAAAGTAAAATAGTAAATCAATATTGATGCAAAAAAAATCTTTCACTCTATTCACTATAGAGTGAAACTGAGAAGAGAAAAACTGAGTTTAGACTTCTTTGACTATACCTCCCCCCTTTTACTGTATAGTCTGTTTTATTTGCATATTCTCTCTCTCTCTCTCTCTCTCGCTCTCTCTCACTCTCTCACTCTCCCCCTCTCGGTGTTCCCCCTTTTCACCCCCCCACTCTCCCCCTCTCCCTCTTCCCCCTTTCTACCCCACCTCATACTTTCTTTCCCTTCCTTCTTCCCACTGTCACTGTCTCTCTCTTTCTTCCTCCCTTCTTACCTGTCTTTTGGTGTGAGTGTTTGTGTTGTATTTTTTATTCTAATGATTACTTTAGTATTATTCACCTTCTAAATTCCTTTATGCTCTCTTTTTCTGGGAGGGTTTCTGTTGTCTGTTGCTTTCTCACTTGGAGCTGTGTTTGAAATTAGCCGGTAATGTCTTCATCACTCTTCCCCTGTGTTCCTCAGCATCTGCTTTGGAGAAATAGCCCTTTACTCCCAGCTGATACCCAGAAGGCAGTCAGCAAGCATCTCGTCTTTTTTATGTAATCTCCCATTCTCCCCTATTTTTTTGATGGTTATATTGTCTGTACTTTTTCAGAGCAACCAGCCTGTCACATGCTATTTGGTCTCTTAGTTCTGTGGACAAATATGTGTTGAATGCTCACCATCAAATATTCTGTTGATGTCTTTCCAGTCATTTTGGTTTTCTAAAGCAGTCCTCTGGTAGATATTTCACGATAGAAATATGGGAACACTGTCTCTGAGTTTGTGCTTGTTGATGACAATGACAGTTCATTGAGGGCCAGTTTGGCTGGATATAAAATCCTCTACTCATCTTATCTTTCAATGAGGAACTTAAATATGTTCTATCATGATAGAGTTGCAGTGAAAAATCTGATGGCAATCTGAATTTCTTTCCCTTGGAGTGACTTGATCTTTTTGCTTAGAGGCCCAAACAAGGCATACAGATTTCTTTTATGTCAAAGTTCTCCATGTTGGCACACATGGCAAATTGGAGCCTGCAAAGTCACCTCCCACTTCCCACTGTATGCCCACCCATTCCCTCTGCACCTGGCCCTGGCAACCCCCACTTCTACTTGCTGTTTCTATGAATTTGACTACTCTAGCAACCTCACAGAAGTGAAGTCATACAGTATTTGTCCTTCTGTGACTGGCTTATTTCTCTTACATAATGTCCTCAAGGATCATCCATGTTGCAGCATGGATGAATCTTCTTTCTTTTTAAGGCTGCATAATATTCCATTGTATATACTTACCACATTTTGTTTACTTATTCATTTGTTGATGATTAAGTTGCTACCACCTTAGGCTGTGGTGAATAGTGCTGTTGTGAACCAATCATTCTCTCTCTTTTTTGAGAGGAGACTGAGAGATTAAAAAACTACACCTTTACCTTCTTAGTCATCTCATATTGCTAGAACAGAATACTATAAACTGGGTAGCCTAAACAACAAACATGTATTTCTCAGTACTGGAGGCCACGATACAGGTTGTCTGCAGGTTTGGTGTCTGGGGATGGCCAGCTTCCTGATTCATAGATGGCCATCTTGTCTTCACATGGCAGAGACAGAAGCAAGCTCTCTCAGGATTCTTATAAGGGCACTACTCAGATCCCATTCATTAGGGCTGTACCTCATAACCTCATGTAATCCTAATTACCTCCCAAAGGCTATACTTCCTGATACCCTAGGGG